TATGGGAAATCATGTAATTCGTCAAGTGATATCAATCGATATTTATTATGTACAAGTGATAATCTTTGGTCCTGTCGAGCCCAACTGGTGTATAATGGATCAGTTTGTCAAAGTGATGTTGTCTATAGTTACACTACAGTAAGCTATCAACAAGAATGTCTACAGAATCAAACAATGGTATGGAATGGAACAAGTTGTTCACCAGGTAAGAAAAAAGCAATGCGTTTTTATGAAAACTTTATTAGTAAATCGTCATCTAGTTCAAACATCACATAGAAAAATTTGGATAGTAACATGTACAACATAATGAGTAGGGTGTGGGTGTGAGGTGTGGGGGTATATAAGGAAGACCCCACACCCACACCCTTGATTACTGATTTGTACAGTGAAAAATCGATCAACGTCTACAACTAGAAAATACATATCGATCTACTACCAAGATAAACATGCCGAGTTTTCTCAATATTATGTTGTGTTTAATCATACTAAGGAAACCAGAGTGAAGCATTCAAATGGATAGACCTAGTGTAAATGCGATTGTTAACTTCAAGAAAACCGATATACTTAATTTCGAATAATTCAGAGCGGAGTTGACCATAACATAGTGCAATTCATAGTCACTGTTGCATTGCATCAGACATTTTGAGTAAGCCTTTTCTGCTGCTCTTTACTTTATAAATTAGGCATCGAATAACAGACGTATGCTTCTTACTGTCACAATTTATGTATTCTTCAAGGAGATGCTGCTTCTCAAAAGAAATATCCTTCTCTATTGTAACATACTTCCTTTTACTTTGATCGAATCTTAGAATGAAGTTCACTTTTCTTTTTATCTTCTACTACAGAGCCGAATAAGAAAGCTCTGGTTAAAATCATTCAATAACATATGGAACTTGAAAGACACTTTTTTCGATTTGAACTATAGTTATCTATTGTTTTCCAACACTTCAATTGATCAGAACTTTCATGCTTTATAATTTGGATTAGTATATGTGAGAATAAAAATATAAAGTTAGATCAATCTATAGCATACCGCGATCAATTTCGATGGCGAACTTTCTTCAGATCGTGTTCGTACTACCTCTCATCTCGGTTCTCAGTACACGACAAACTTAATATTGAGTCAGCATGTTCCTTTCATTACACTGTCAAAATACTGTATCGAGTGCTATTAGGAGTAAATAAGTATTTCGTTTTTTATATAATCTTTTGATAGTTGTCGTAACATCACTTACATGGAACGCCACTGGTATAACTGTAGCTGGTGTAACTGGCGTTTCTGGCAGCACTCCAGATATACTCAATCGACCTACCGGTTTAAGTATTGATTCCAACGGTACACTTTACATCACAGATCAATATAACTTCAGAGTTCAGAAATGGCTCAGAGGTGCTACCAATGGAACAACAGTAGCGGGGCAACCCAACGGTACTATTGGTAATGGATCTTCGTTTTTAAACATACCTCAGGCTGCTGTCGTCGATTCCAATAGAAATGTTTATGTGGCAGATACTTATAATCACAGAGTTCAATTGTGGTCATATGATGCTTCTTTTGGTATAATGGTGGCCGGAACAGGTAGGAAACTATTTTTGTTCACAGTTCAGTGTAACAAACGAAGTAAGAAAGTTTTATTGTCAGAATTTATTGTCCCAAGTAATGATTTCATGTTTTGAAATAATGAACAACTTATATAACACATGAAGGTCTTCTATGAAATATACATACATAGTGTTTCTATTTCTGTTCACAGGTGTTAGCGGTTCCGCAAACAATCAACTACATTGCCCTTGGGATATAACAAGGGATTCAACTACTGGCGCATTGTACATAGCGGATAATTATAATCACCGCATTATGAGATACCTTGTCAATGCATCGTCGGGTACTGTAGTTGCTGGAGGAAAGGGACCAGGCACAAATAGTACATAGTTATATTATCCGATGGGTATATATTTGGATGTAACATCAAATAGTCTATACATTGCCAATTATAATTCTAATAATATTGTTCGCTGGGTAATTGACGCTACCAGTTGGACATTAGTTGCAGGTGATATCAACGGCATGAGTGGTAGTTCGTCAACAATGTTGTATTATCCGTATGATGTTGAAGTCGATTTCATGGGCAATATTTACGTGACTGATACCGGTAATGATAGAATTCAGTTTTTTCAAGCTGGCTCAATGAATGGTACAACAATAGCAGGTGTTACTGGAGTTTCCGGTTCTGACGCTTATCACGTTTTTTACCCAGTTGCTCTAAAACTTGATTCTCAGCTTAACTTGTACGTAACGGATTGTTTAAATGATAGAGTTCAAAATTTTCTACACTACTGAAAGACAATAATATCATTATCTATTCATGCACTCAAAAAAAATTGAATTTATCTCATTCAAACTTTAATATATGATTTATTTATGAAATATAAAATACGCTTTTCTCTCGAATTCTATCATTGAACTTTACCACCGTTCTCATGAGTTCTAAAAATCCCCAGAGCATACAATGCTCGGTGTGGGTGTGGGCAGAAGGTCAGTCACACTTCATGTTCATCCCGAGACCCACATTGGCACCCTCATATTTTTCTCAATCTCAATGTACGAATATTTAAATCTATTTTTTGAAATGTTAATGAAACACATTTATAGTGAATTGTATTGTGATCACTGATGAACAGAAATAAATATTTATTTATAAGCATAAAGTATAACGAGTACAAGATCAATGCATAATACAATCATTTACAATATTACAGCAGATAAAGCGTGGTTATTTAATTTAGATATCGAAAAACAATCAAAATTTAACGAGAAATTAAAGAAAGTTTTTCGAATTGTTTTGATTCAATTTTAAATATTAATGTTTGAATACTTTAAGGGTGGGTGTGGGTGTGGGTGTGAATGAGAACCAGAGTAACACCCACACCCACACCCCACCCTATGGCAGAAGAAGAAACAAATATAATTGTTGTAAGTAAAATTGTCTTATTTGTTCACCTCAAAAGTTTGAAGAGCAATGTGAGTACTGATTGTAACTTGAGATAAATGTTTGAATTGGGTAATCTAAAACACAAAAACAAAAATTGTCATTCAAAAGATGGAATTATCTGCAAATAGTTCCGTTGGGCAACGTGCAAAAAAGCCAATGGCATTGGCTCTAAATATACATTCATATAAACATTGAATTTGAAAAGTCTATAATGGATAGGTAAGATTGATAATTTTAAGGATAAACGTACATCAGGGAGGATTGTGATGGCGAACTTTAAAAAAAAGTACTTCAATTTTTCAGTTGGAGGAACTTATTAGAGGTATATTACGAAACGTGCAAGGGTTTCATACGAAACTTGACTCAACTTTGATTTTCAAAAAAGTATGGTATGAAACCTCTGTCACTTCAGAACCTTAGAAAACGATCGCACCGAACTTTTTCTAGTACTAAACCTACAAAAGGTTTCGCAGGTTCATACCATAACTCTAAGGGTTTAATAAGGTACCACCAAACCTTAAAGGTTCCGTACAGCACCTTTATTTTTTTCAGTGTAGGGAAAAGTACTTTAAAGTAGTCAAAGTAACTTCAAGTACAAAAGCACTTGGTTTCCCCCTTGCGTTGTGCACATTTGGCTTCAATCATGGGGTGTTTTCCACTTTTATTTTTGATTTTTATACGCGATTTCTTATATTGTGTTTGTCATTCTTAATGGCATTGATCATTAGTCGCTGAGGGTTCACAGCCTTTTATCTATGTTTTTTGAAAAAGTAAAATTCGGTCAGTAAATATTTACTATAAATGCTTTTGCTATTTGCATTGCTTTACCTTTAGTATAGGAGCGAAAGATACGATCTGAGGAATGATGACGGATGAATACCATACATCGCTGACATTATTCTACCAATCTAGACTACACTCTCAATAGATGCTGCTCAGAAGATATGAAACGAAATGAAAAAAAAATACGTAAACATTATACGTATCCTTTGTTCTTAGTTGAAAAAAGTCAGCCACTGATCTTATCAATCTGAAATTTGCCTATAAAATACGCGTTTCATTGCTATCTGTGCTGCATTTGCTTGCTGATTATCAGAATCGTGAGCTCTTGTTCTCTATACTTACAACATGGAATGTGCTGCACCGAACATAATACGGCATATGTTTTATCGAAACGAGGTGTCTTTAATATTGGCAACTGCTCCTACGCAATGGATTAACCATCTTCAAGAAAACTAATAAAACTTTTATGTCAAATGTAAACCGATCCGTTGTGGACAGCAAGCCATTGTGGCACTTTCTCTTACATATGAAAATCGATGAGAAGCTGTGAAATGAGTATTGCGAATGAGAGATATACACTCATATCTATAGACCATACGTTTTTAAAATAAGATCAGCA